TTCTTTCTTTCTTTCTTTCTTTCTTTCTTTCTTTCTTTCTTTCTTTCTTTCTTTCTTTCTTTCTTTCTTTCTTTCTTTCTTTCTTTCTTTCTTTCTAGGGAAACTGAATGTTTATTTAAAGCTCATTATCAACCAGGGATCTATAAACCCTCAGAGCCTTGATTGACTCTTTTTGAATCATTAAGCATTCTCTTATTAACAACCAAACCCTTGGTACCAGGCATGATGGATCCATGCTTTCATGTATGAACTATAGCACGAGTTTCCTGTTCTTAGCTGACACCATTATGGTCTACTTCCATCTGCTCCAAGGTTTGACATGTTAAGCATTCAGTGATGCTCTTTTACATACCTTAGTTACAATAACTGTTTATTTAAGTTACTGTTGCCTTGCTATCTGCTCAAAGCAGTCTGGTCACTCTCCAGAAAGATTCAGAAAGCTACTTTCACTCAGCAACTTCTGCTCACTGGATATTTTGTCTTTTTTGGGCTATTCACCACCAACAACAATGCCAAGATTAACATTATTTAAATAACCTTCTGTAGGCACCAGTCTATGAATGATTAAGTTCATGTTTGGTTTATGATTCAAAGATTAGTTACATAATTAATCATTTCAGGTTTAATACATTTGAACATTTAAGTTATGTTCACATAAGGTAATGAAATGTCACTGTTTAGGATCTAAAAGAGGTGCCCATCACTTCAAGCATGTAAGTGCAATGGCAGCATGTGTGGTTTAGGAAGAGGAGGAGCTTGGACGTAGAGGTTAGGAGTCTTGTGGTTTTCTTACCGTGTACACATGTTGTTCTGGATAAATATCTTATTTTTTGGAATGTTCATGTTTATTTAAGTTTGTAATAAATAAAACAATCAAGTCATAATTCAACTAGAAGCATTTGTTTTGGAAACCGGGAACATTTTTGAACGTGGTCTATTGGAAGTGTCCCTACACCTTCCTTCCATAGTCTGATGCTCAATTTTGACCTTCATCAGGTTCTTCATGTTGACCGAGTGCATTGAGTTGCTTTCATGTGATTGGCTGATTAGACACGTGCTTTAAGTTGAACCTAACAAAGTGACCAGTGAGTGTATATCCTAATCTCTCAAGTGTTACCATTTACATTTATGACAAACTTCACATATTATTTGCATGAATGTGTTATGAGTTACATCCAAATACTCAGATGAAGTGCTCGCTTGAAATGCTAAAAACCTGTCATCACTGCAATTTTTGTGTTTCTTTTTGCCTTGGCAAAGCATACAGTTGTCAACAAAGTGGTTACACCTCCTGGCAGAATGTGCGGTGCCTTATTTCTTAATATATTTTCACATCTCTGTAAAAAAAACAGTAGCAAGTTGTCAAAGATAGTACCCAACGATACCTCAGGCTTTAAAAGAGCATGTTTACATGTTGAGATTCAAGTTATGGTAATACTCTGACAACACCAAAAATCAGGATCCGTGAGACGTAACTAATCTGTACAAAGTGCACGTCTTTTGTCAAACACGAATTGCTCCTCGAGCCAAACAGATTATGTGCATCAAAGATTTCTTAGCTACGGCTTTCAAATCAATGATGAAAATTATATGTTCACGAGGATCACTGCGGGCAGAAGTGCTTATTAATTGCTTTGCTTCAGAAGCTTTCCGTTTTCTTTGATTGCAGTTCATACCTAACTAAACAATGGTCCAGCTTTTAGTTGACTTTTTGCTGCAATTTGTCGCAGTAACGGTGGATGGTCCTGTTGTGTAATAGAAAACTTTGCAGTATGGAATCATTCACGGCACGCGTCATATTCTATGTTCATGCCCCACAGCAGGGATCATAGTCTATGTTTATTTTATCCTCACATTTCACAGTCCATCATACTTCCTGTGGTCTCTTCAAGCGCGGTGTGTTGACACGCTGCAAAAGCGATCAGCAACTTCGTTTTCATTGGCATGCATATGTGCTCCAAGTAAACGCATTGCTTGTATACACAGTGAATTTTTGTAAGCATATTGTCCTGGCAGCCACACTGAATGAAGACGCCTGTGCAAACGAAAACATAATGACTTCGTGTCAAAACCTAAAGGCTCCGTTAACTTCAATTTAAATTAGAAATAGAAAAATGAGATCCCACAAAGCTAGGAAAATACTTTATTTCTGTCCCTGTCATCTCCCATACTGTTTTTATATGCTTTATCATTGTCTCTCTATATATCAGGATAAATTATGCATGCAGAGCAACCAACAAAACTCAGTCATGCACATAATTAAAACAAAAAGAATCACATCAGCACTTTTTTAACTGTGGAACAATGCAAACATGTCTTAAGTAAACAATGTCATGCATAATTAGACGGGCGGAAAAAAACAACAACATAGTGCGATCTTGCAGGAAGCTATCCACAAGGGTAGATCTGACGCTGAAACAGATGACAAATACTCTCACCTCCATTTCCTCTGATCTCAGAGAACTATGTGTTATTTCCCCTCCCCCAACTCCTGCAGCTAATTTAAACAGTGCTTTGAAAATAAATTATGATCTGTTTAAAGTGACGGAGGTCAAGTGTCTGCCTAACAAGTGTTGAAGAAAAAGGCATGGATGTGTGGACATGAGCGGAAATAAAGTGTTATCAGACACTCGAGCTTAATATATATATATTTATAGTACAGAGACGTGAAAAAAAACAGCAAGCCATATTTGGAATATGTTACCCATGGCTGTCCTGTAAACAATTTAATCGGCAGGCAAATGAGCGGGAATGAATTTAAAATATGATTAGAGTGTGAAAAAGTTCAATAAAAACCATAAACATGTATTTTCTTTCTATATTTGCCACAGTGATAAAATTAATCTTTGGATCTTACTGCATGTGTGTCTTTACGCTAGTATTTAACGGGAAAACCATGGATTAACCTTTAATATGCTTTCAGTTTAAAGTACGACCCAAGGCAAATAACAGAAAACGAGACATAACTACTAAACCAGCGACCAAATTTTTAAAAAAAAGCACGTAGTACCTCTAAAAGTCTCTTTTGGTCGACAAGAATAGATTACCACAGACCCGCCAATTTGTGAATTCCTGTTTCACAAGAACTGATTTGACTGATTACAATGTTAGTAATTATATCTTATCTTTGTCTTTGTATTATGAAAAGCTTACCATCTGTCATAACCAACCATAATCATATTTTTTTCTGCAGTGACTATTCTAACCTTACTGATAACTCAAAGCTCAGCTCTGTCAGTGAATACAGAGGTGTCGATTTTTTGCTTGTTAGCATTAGCACCCTGTTAAATATAGAATTCCTGGTGTACCTTCATAACCAAGCAGGAAAGCAGTGCAATATACTAAACAGTAGAAACTACAAAAGAAACCTTAATACAACAACTGTGGCCATTCTGAAGCCTCTATCCATATTTACCATCATTTTGTGACCATTTGAAGCCTGAGGGTAAACTAACTTTTAAATGAAGGGACACTACATGCTCATATGTTCCACTGATGGTGACCAACATTAGAAAATACACATCATGTTGTATTAGATAAGACTTTAAATTAAATGAGACCATAAACTCGACCGGACATTATTTAATGAGATCATAGATCAAAGGAAGGGTCATTTTATGATAAACTTCTTAATAGAACTTCTGCAACATGTGGAGCGGTGCCGTGTTTTCAATTAGAAAGGATGCAGTTTTAAGGCACTTTCTCACTGTCATCATTTTTTGGGATCTGGAAATCTGGAAATCTGGAAGCCATATGCTAGTTTTTTACATACAGTCTGTGATAACTGCACTCTTCTGCCTGCCGGGTCATTAAAATATGCTGAAAAAGAAAAGGGGAGATTTGAATATGTGAACTTGTTTTTATGAGGGGACCGTTCAAAATGAGACACAATGAAGCTGGAGCACAAAGAAAAATAATGTGGGCAACATGTTTGTTGTGTTTTTGATAGAACGGATGAGTATATACAGCCATGGTAAAAAGAAAGTACACCCTCTTTTAATTCTAAGGTTTTATATATCGGGACAGTGTGGGACACTCAGTTGATTACTTGATTAATTGATAACCAGCAAGTGTGGCCACATCTATGAAATCTGCATTTGTGTCAGTTTTACAGGTCTGAACCATACAGGTGATCTTATTAAAGCAATTGTTGCTGCCTGTGATTCTGGAAAGGGTTATAGGTCCATTTCCAGATTATTTGAAGTCCATTGTTCTACTGTGAGAAAGACTATTCAGTGGAAAACATTCAAGATAGTGTTCCCAGTGTGGATACCCCCATCAAATTCACCCCAGACTGTGCCACACTAAGAGAAACAGCTAAAACTCCAAGAGCTACACCTCAGACTCAATTTGAAAAAAACAAAGTATGGCTTAATTTGGAGAGGTTGCTAGAAGAAAGCCTCTTCTCTCGATAAATAGCATGGCAGTCTACTACACTGCATCTGAATAAACCACAAGATTTCTATAAAATGTCCTTTGGACAGATGAGACCAAACCACACTTGGTAAAAACTGAAACAGCATATCACAACAATCATCTCGTGAACTGTAAAGCATTTGTGATGGTGATGATTTTGGTTTGTTTTGCAGCCACAGGACCTGCACACCTTGCAGTAACTGAACTCTGTAAACCGAAGTATGTTGAAACTGGGTCATGCAACAAGAAAATTAACAGAAGAACAGAAGCAAATCTACAGGAAAATGGCTGAAAAAGGAAAGATGAGGTGTTGCACTGAGGCCAGGAAACCTCAGTGAACTGAAGCAACATTGTAAAGAAGAGTGGGACAAAAATCCTCAACAACAATGTGCGAAATTGAGTAAGTCACACAAGTTCGACAACGACTACGTCAAGTTGTTGTTTTTCACACCTTGCTTCTGCATTTTTGTTAACTATATAACCAGATTATTTTTTATGATTTCCATTTATATAAAACCTTTAGCAGAACTTAAAGAGAACTTACTTTCTTTATGTCATAACTGTAGTGTTTCAAAGTGTTTCAATTGTGGAGAGCTATCTTTTAGCAAGTGCTGGAAACATTGACCGCATGGATTTTCTGTATCAAGTGAGCAGCATTAGAAATCTTCAGCAAAAGCCTCCTCAAGAGTCACCATTACAACAACCAGCTGCTTCTTTAACATGCATGTATATTTTTGAGATAGCTGCATTTCTAGATTGTCAGGTTATTGTTGGAAAATGGGGAATTCAGTTCTATTATAAATTCTTGATTGATGAAATTATGATGTTGCCTATCAACTGCTAGCAAATTAAGGAAATTAGCAGAACGCTAGCATCCCTGCATTTTGTCTAGACGCAAGTGTAAACAAATATATTTCCCTCTTAGCTTCTGTAGATCATTTGGCTAAATGATCACTCTGCACCATTTGTCTGTTATGAGCCACCGCTGTGTGGGCTAATCCATTTGGAACAGTACGTGACGGGATTGACCATTATGTGTATTGTGTGCTTGGACTGATTAAAGTTTACAGTGGAAAAATATACGGAGTGGTCACTGACTCATACCACCTCATGAGACAGCTACAGCTTCATTAACTCCTTCATTAACTGAGCATATTGAGAACTCTGGAAGTCCTCACACCAACAGGGAGCATCACAGTAGCATCCATGCTGGACATACAGTTTACATTTTCACCCCGATTCCAGTCTCTAGAATCAGTGCTTATATTTGTTTATGGATCTTACTGAATGTGTGACTCATATTCTGGTATTTAAGGGGATATCCTTGGATTAAGCTTCAATATCCTTTCAGTTTAAAATACTAGGAGAGGTTAGCAAATGACAGAAAACAGGAAGTTACTACTCAACTTGTACCTCTAAAAGTCTCTTCTGGTCAACAAGAATAGGTTACCACATAAAAAACCAAGTAACCTGTGAATTCTTGTTTCACAATTACTGATCACTACTTTAGTAATTACTGTCTTACCTTTGCACAGAGCCAGACAAGCTGTTTTCTCTTTGTCTTTGTAACAAGAAAAGCTAACCAGCTGCCGACAGCAGGTGTATATTTAGCATGCAGATATGAAGCTGAATCACGTACCTCTCACAGAGAAAGTAAAAGTAGTAAGAATAACTCTGAACAGGTCAAACTATTCCTTTAATTTTTTTCAGTCTTTAACATCATTTTACATTTTTATTTATGTTGTAAGAAGCCTGCCACAGTCAGCATTTAATAACCAGTAAAAACTGTAAATTTTACTTTGACAAACACAAAATACGATGACGTGTTCGGCAAAAAACCCCGAACATGGCAGTGTGTTTTCTTGTTAAACGTCTCACTCTTGCAATTATTAGTCATCATACGTTGCCTGTGTTTTGCAAGGCAAGCTTTCATATTAAACTCAACACGTATAGTTTCTCTCTGTGAACATAAAGCAGAAGAGACAAACCCAGATTTCCACATGGGGACGTATCTGTCTGAGCCGTAATGAAATGAGTGGGGCCGGTTTTCCCAGCAGCACTTGAGCAAGAAGATCAACTTAGTGCCAAAATAAGCTAATGCATAAAGATGATGATACTGCTGAGACGTTTTTGCTTAATTGGGCCTTGAGATGTCGTACACTTTCAAAACAAGAAGCCTTCAGGCACAATCCACTAGAAGCCCAAAACGTTTGATTATTTCAGTTTCTTTTTACTGGAACTTTTGAAAAGTATGTGAATTTAATTAAGCTAAAACAAAAAAATACTTTGAATACTGTTCTAACCCGTTTCTAAAAACGTTGTATACACGTGAATAGTGAGGACTTGATCCAATTAATCAGCATTATGTTTGTATCTCAACAGAATGGCAATAAAATACTGCTGGCAAATAATGTTTACCAGCAGTATCCATGTAAGCACTCATCAAACTTTTTAAAGAAATCCACGTGAAATGGATTTTGCAGTTATAAGGCACAATCACAAGTGTAGGGGAAGCTCTCAGCATGACGAAATATGCAAAGATGTATGCTTAGACAGCGATTTGTTTGTTTTAATTAAACGCACTTTTGACAATCTGAAATTGTCCACATCCGTGCTAGGAAGTTAGCCAAAAGTGATTACAAACAAACTTAATGCCAGTTTGACCTCTTAAGCCCCAACGCCCCCAGATACGAGGGCAAAAGGCAGGAGATCGCATTTGGGGTTAGGCATTGGGGCTTAAGTGTGTTGTTGGTCCTCCTTCCAAATTTTCTGTGTGATGACTTCAAAACAGAATATTAAAAGTGCATATGGATCTGCTCTAAACCAACTTACGCCACCTCTTTCAGTCATATTCATACGTTTTAGAGGAATAAATGTTCAAAATTTCCATAAATACATGGCTAGTCATCATTGCTAACACCTCCATTGGTATGAGTATCTAGTTTCTAGTTTCTGGTGTTGTTTGTTTGTCTTTTGGTGGGGAGGGTCTCACTTTATCTTTTACAAATTGTCTTTTATTTAATGCTTATTTGGCCCTGAATAGTGTAATAAAAAAAAACACAGAAAAAAGCCTGATGAAAGTGAAGTTCCACTCCTGTGACAATGCTGTAACATCTTCAACAAACGGGGGGAAAAATGTCGTAATGAAGAAAGTTTCTTTCTGTAGGCAGTGATTTCAGCTTTTTAGATTGTCAGTGCCTTTTGATTTAGAAATTGAGAGTTAATCACAGTCTGCATTGCAGCCTGAATGTGAGTAATGCAGCTTTCTGAGCACTGGGCAGACCCTAAATTGGCTCTCTCTCCAAAATACACACGCAGTGAATTTCACATGGGAGCTCTAAGAACAAAGTGCTCTCAATAACACTGTGCTTCTCTTACACACACACACACACACACACACACACACACACACACACACACACACACACACACACACACACACACACACACTTGCAGTTATATATGTGCTTCTGTCTTCATATTTCTTCCTTTATGTACCAAACACTAAAAAAAATGCTCATAAAAATGCTGTAAACATTGTCATAAAACCACCGCACGACATCTTATGAATGAAAAGTGACAACGATATATACACTCTTTACATATTTCAACCACATCTGTGCCCGCTACTAGGTGAAGTTCATCCTTTTTGTTTGGTTATCAGCTCAGCAGAGTCCAAGAGCATCCACGGTTTATGCTTTTCGGGATGCTCCATCAGCTCCTTTCCATAAACTCGTCAGCAGTCTCAGGTCAAAGAAGGGATATTTACTCCATGGCCAGAGCGACCCGGTCGGGCGTCATCGGCCCCGGCTTGACCGAGATCCACAAGTCTTCGGTATTGGCAGAATTTTTTTTCTTCTTTGTTTCTGACCTTGAAGACGACACGGCGTCGCCGCAGCAACAACAACAGCAGCTGTTGGCATGACGACAGCAACAGCAGTGACAGCACACCACCACCGTTGTGAGGAGAACAAGCAGGGGAAGCGTCAGGAGGACCACCAGGCAGACTGTGTTATAGGCCCCCTGGTTGTGTTTTTCTGAAGCAAAGTGCCACAGTTGGTTGAAAAAATCCTGAATGCTGTCAGTTTTCCCATCCATGGCTTAGGATACCGGCGTGTAAGCCCTTTAAATGAGACTATCTCACTGTTGGAAAAGTTTTGCTAAATCCTTTAGAGAGTTGAAATAGTTGTGAGACAGCAAATGTGCATGTTAGGATGCTGGGGTACTAAAATGATAAAAAAATATAATGTCCCTCTGAGCCCTTTGGGTGTTTGGATTAAGGTTAAAAAACTGCCCAAAATGAAATCGTTTCCCTGAGACTCTCGTCCATCCAACAAGGGCTGTGCTCTGTGTGTTAAATGAAAACACCAGAAGCAAACGTCACTGATGCTTTCTGCTTTAAAGTGCTCCTTTGGAGAAGGCCAAAGCCCATTTAAACAAATCCACAAAACCAAGAGGTCACTTGGTTAGAGAAGGCTTTCAATATGAGGATTCTGATCTCGAGGAAAGCGGAAGTTTCTTTATCCAGGTCGACATTCCAGTAATTGTTTTCTCGAGTTTCCTCTTGTCCTCCTCCCCTTTAACTTTCAGTCTGACGAGCTGTAGAGAAGTGACTTAATGTGGATGTATCTGCAAAAAAAAAAAAAAAAAGAAGGTTAACATGAAAAGAAAATTTGGGTCCAGGCAGACAACCGGTCTCCCTCACTCTTTCCCTGCCTCCCAATCTATCTTTCTGCCTCTGTCTTTAACATCTCTACTCCTGCACCCCACCCCCCATCTTGTCAATGTCAGCTTCGGATTTTTTTCAGCTTTCCCTTCATTAATATTGCAGAGGGGCATTCATGATTCAGGGCAACTCTCTCTCTCTAAGAGTCCCACTGAGGAAGACAGCGGCGAACAGAGAGAGAGAGTAAGAAGGAGTGGAAGAAATGGAGGGAGATTGTGTCTGAGGGAAGGTGAGACCGAGACAGAGGTAACCAATCTTCCTAAGAATCCCGCTGAGATGGAGAACGTGACAGTGTCAGAAAAAAAAAAAGAAGCGAAGTGGGAGAAAGGTAGGCCAGAGAAAGATCTGCTATAGGAGGCTCATGAATATACAGGTCTCATGGATCCCAAAGCAGGAGATGGATGGAATGTGGCCTAAGTATTCCTAAATGTCTGAATTTAACAATTTTATGCTGGCCTCAAATAAAACCACCGCCAAATAGGAATCCTTGATGTAAGGAACTTCAATTGTCAGTCCTACATGGAAATAAAAGTCATATTGTTCCTTACTCTGAGACTAAAAAGCTATTTGATTAAGCCTGAAGCCTTGAGGCAACATTTTTATTTAAATGCTGTTAAACATCTATAGTTTTTCAGACACCATTTGACTCAAGTACGCTCCACAGAGTCTCTGTAGCTTTCGGCTACAGGGCTTCTTTGTATTCTGTTCGCAGGAAGGAAAAAGATTTTCATCTCACATTCGGTTGCTTCGTATGCAGAGAAAGAGAGATGAAGATGCACCTGCAAGTGGAGAGCAAATAGGCACGGCTTCCACCGTGCGTTGTGCCTCATGTGTGAAATTAGTTTACCCACAGACAGCCCGCTAACTTCCCTCCTGTTCATTTGCTCAACAGGAAGCTAAGCACTTAAAGCTAAGTAGCACCTGAAATGTTTAAGTGAGAGATCAGAAAGAGCAATCCCATTTCAGAAAATAGAAGTGATCCAAACCACCGCATGAGAAACTGTGCTTCATTTCTTTTTGGGTTATTAGAGACTCTTCATGTTAGTTTGTGCAGTTTTGGTTTGTTCATAAAAAAAATAGAAGCAAATGAGGTCACCGGCAAATTTAAGAAAAAACTAATCTAGATTTTGCTGAAGTGGGGAAATTTGGGTCGACTAATGAAGTAAAATGCACACAGTGCACAGACTGACAGTGGTTTTAATGCCACTCAGTGCTCCTCTGATGAGAAGAAAAACAAGGGCAGCGTGCGTCGTTATCTCGTTCTGCTGCGATGGTTTAATAACTCCACCAAATATTCATCTCCATATAGCAGCAGCACATAAAAGCTGTGCACAGGATTGTGCCTTATTTCAAAAATGTGCACCACGTTTGGAACAAAGGCTGCCTGCAGGCGACATGGAAACCCGCGCATATTCCTGAGAGCGATGGCGTCGCTGCCACATCTTTCCTGATTATTGGCTGCAGGTACATGTTGTTGTGATGAGCTTGGCTGAGCTGCAGCACCTCTGTGCACACTCTGATCATCCCGCCATTATGAAAACTCTGCCACCGCGGCGAGCCAGAGCCGCTGAGCAATAAGTTTGTCGGAGAGGGACAGAGATCGGGAGTGAAGCACGGAGGTGTGATCTAGCCGGTAGAAAAGAAGTGACTCACAATGAATCAGTAGGAAAGTCATTAAATAGAATGGACAAGTCACTGAGTGTTATGATAATTATAGCCTCTGGCCAGGAACAAAGAGCCCACTTTGAGATGCGTTTATACACGGGTGAACTATAGTTGAAACACTAGCAGAAGAAATACAATGCTTTATGATCTACGTGTCATTTCATCAACGTGCTAAGGGAATTAATCCAGTAAGAGAAGTAACAACAAACTGATTGCCACTGTTGTTTCGTTCTCAGCAGGCCGTTTCTGTGCAGTACTGTGAGATGACCGGTACTTGTTCCTAACTTAATGGCTATTTTAAATAGATTGTAGCTTTATTTTTACTAAAAATAAATTAAAATGAGTCTCACTCATGACAACATTCTTTCAGAGACTCACCGGCTGTTTCACTTTCTCATGACTTTGTCTTCTTCTTGAGGCATTCGTACACAGGAAAAGGCCCTTTCTGGGCCACACAAAGCCAGGAAGGGGCTGAGAAAAAATGTTATGATTGCACACAGTTAGCCCCTGCTGCTTTTTTAAGGAACACGCGTGACCTAAAAGACAAAGTTGCGACAGAAGGCATGGCAGGAATCTTTAATGACTTGCCCCGAGCACCGAGTCAGAGCAGTTCGCTCATCAGTCAGCATTAATTCACAGCGCTAGGGTGTGTTTGTTTTGACCTGAGTCAAGAACCAGTAAACAGCTAAACCTCTAGATTTTTTTTTTCTGCAGAAAACATGATCTGTGTTTGATCTCAAAGTGCAGCTGTTTTGCTGTCGTAGCAACAGGCCCGCTGATATGCTTGACAGTGAACAAAAGCAAGTGCACAAGCCCATTACATGTCAGATGTGTCAGCTCAGTCCTAACTGGAATGAAATGAGCAAAGCGGAGGTCACACTGCCAGTAAGAAAAGGGAGGGGGCAGCCAGATGAAGCTAATAAACATCACCAGTAAGTTAGTCAGCCCTTTAAAACTAAAGGGAGGGACAAAGTGAAAGTTCTTAGAAACAGACGTTTGAGTGGGATGGTTTGTTTTAAGGAGACGAGAGTGTATTACAGACGCTTTTGGCTGAAATCTAATCTAACCCCAGCCAAAACCAAGCTTCTTTTTTTTTTTGGATGAAGAATGAAGATTGTCCCAAAAGCAGCAATTTTACCTGAGTTTAATCAAACAACAAGAAACATCAGCAAATACCAACTTAAGCCACAGCAGTATCAAAGTATTCAGTGGCAGTTAAGATCTCATTGAAAGCAGAACCTTACCCCGCAGGCACTTGTGAAGTAGCAGGTCAGGTCTCGCGTCTTGTCTAATCCAGTTAGCTGCTCTAACTTCTGTTGGTTCTGTTTTGGCATCTGGCTTCAGCTCTGGTCTGGTCCCCCTCACTCTGACATCGTCACTTTCTGTTCCTGTTTCCCTCGCTACCCTTGTTTCATCCTCCTCCTTTTCTCCTCCTCCTCTCTGTGTAAGTGTGTGTTTTGGTCACAGCGTCACTGCACCCTGCCCACTTTGTATAAGAATGGGCCCTCTGTCTGCGCTTACATGTTTCCTACACACTGTGCTCAAGAGTTGTGGTTGCTTTACTTTACCCTCACTAAATGACGTCAGGCAGAAAGATGGAAAGTCAGATAAATGAAGTTAAAAAGTCTGATATGAAGTCACAGGAATGCCGTATTAAAAGCTGAATCCCTCCACAATAAGGCCTCCATGCATGCACTCATCTGAAAACCTTGCAACTACAGCGGAAGTTGCACGCAAGGTTGAAACATTTTGCATAATAGCACTAAATGACTGCTTGAACAAACACCGCTCCACCCATCTGTGGGCCCCGAAACAGGAATAAAAAGGGGGAACAAAAACTGCACGAGCCTACGTTTGTGTGTGCTGTAAATACAGTGACAGAGGTATGAGCAAGACAAGAAAGATATGAAAGAGGGAGGTCATGTGAAGTGCACACACACACACACACACACACACACACAGAAACCCACTTTTTATGCCTGTGGCATTGTGGTCGATGCCCTTTCAGTTCAGTCAAGCAAAACACGATTTTTATTCAAGTAAGAATCAAGAAAAAAAAAAAGGGTTCAGCTGACATTAAAGAAAACTCTGTTCACTATTCTCATCAGAGGGTTGTTTTACTTTGACATGCAAACTATAGGTCCTGTGCATTCATATATTATATGATGTGTGCTTATATACATGCAAAAATATATAAGCACACATTATATAAGGAGAATTAGTTCAAAGAGTGTCTAATGTGTGCAGAGCCTGGTCATGAACAGAAAGGAAAGGAACTTAACTTTTACCACCCTCTCAAGAAGCAGTAGTTGTGGAAGAAATCAAAAAGTTAAATATATAGATAGCTAGATGCAAAAGATGTCTGTGTCCTTTATCTGAAACATGATGAGACCAGATGAGTCGCCGCTCTTTTATTCACTGCTCATGGTGTATGTAGATGGGACGATTTCATCTGATAATCTGCTTCTTTTTTTTAAAATCATGCCTCCTGACAGGTTTCAGACTGCCTGAAGAAGGAAGTGGGCTCTTTTGTAGCTATGAGGCATGGTTACGTGAAAACCTATGAGACAAGCCTCACCGTGTCTGCAGGTTTGTCTGAGCCATTTCAGACAAATAGCAACCAGGCATTCACA